ACAGCAGTTCTGGAGGGCTGATAGAAGAAGTTCTACATGAACTGAGACTGTGCTCCTGTGGGCAAGGCACCATTGAAACTATAGTTGATATCCTGTTGTATTGTCCCCTCTATCTCACAGACCCATTTTATAACACCTGACCTGATTAAATATCCCAGAAATTCCAATCTCTCTTATGTAAAACTATTCTTATCAGATCAGTACGATAAGGATAAAACCTAGCTAGGTTTTGCTATAATGTTTGTAAAATTAGGCAGACCTTGTTCACTTATTGATGATTTCACCATCAGTTGTAATATATTACTGTGCCTTGTTCTATTCAGTTCTGTTCAGTTCTGCTTTTAACATTTAGTTTTTTTGTGCTGGTCCATGACTGTAATATAAAGATTGATTGATTGTACAAGATGATGTCATGTTAAAAAGGGATCTCAAAATTACATTAGACTTCTCCACACTTAATAATTAATATTGGATTTGGCATTACTCTGACATCCCAAACTGGATGTCAATGCTGCTAACATTGGATGTTCTTGCTTTGACAATATATGAAGATGCAGCCATTTTCTCTTTAACCTGTGTGTTACTTTTACAGTTAGAATTAGATGGTGCTGGGGGAGGAGGGGGAAGAATGTGTATGGGGATTAGTTAGACCTAACAATATCACAGTAGAGTATTCTTCAAGGTTGTTTGAAATAAGAGAAGATAAGAAATGACGGGTTATGAAACTGGAGGGAAGGTTTGCATTTCAAACTAATTGGAGAATGTGATTTATGACTGTTAATTGGAGGAGGGAATTGTGCTTCAATACTATGTGTTTAGGGAAGGAGAATTCAGATTTTGGCTTCAACCATGTACGTACCGATGCCATGTTATTTTGAATAAAGATTCTTTAAGGTAAACAATGCCTCAAAGTTCTTTGAAGAGTAACATCTGTCGGAACCATGACATCAGTACGTACATGGTCGAAGCCAAAATCTGAATTCTCCTTCATTATTATCAACTGAATGTCTGTGGAGATTCTCAATCATCCACGCCAAAGGCAACTGGACTTTGATTTTCCTTGAAGACATTTTGCTTCCCATCCAAGAAGCTTCTTCAGTTCTGACTGAATGGTGGAAGATAGAAGGATTTATATTCCTTGCAGTCATCTGGTCATTAGCACTCTTTTTGGGAATCATTGAGGCCACTTGGAGGTTTATCGGTGCCCTCAGGATCACCTGAATAGGCAGTCTCCTCTTTGCCACACAGTCCTTTGAGCAGTTCCAAGAAGGTTTCACACCCATTTGCACTATTGAGGTGATCCTGAAGGCACAGATAAACTTCCAAGTGGCCTCAAAAACTCTCTGAAAGAATGCAAATGACCAGCTGTCTGCAAGGAATATAAATCCTTCCTCCCTCCACCATTCAGTCAGAACTGAGGAAGCTTTAAGGAAAAATAAAGTCCAGTGCCTTTCAAAAAAGCACCTTTGGGACTTTTATGAAGTGAGAATATGTTACCTTTACTTTTTTCCCCTCTGTTACATGAAAAAATATTTTTTTTTCTCAGATGCTTATAAATAGAATGTCTTTTACTTCTGTCTTCTCTGAGGTTGGATGTTGTTCTAAACTGAAATATTAAAATTAATATGACGGATGTTGCAGCATCAATGTCAAGTGTTATCTCAGTTAGCAATTGGCCTTTAAGGCCTAGAATATCATAATAGTTTTAAATCTTGCCACTTTATTTTTTTTCTCCCTGTGGCCAATTTATTCTAAAATTACCCTACTCGATTAGTTTTAAATAAAGAGGCCAACATCTGAAATATTTATCACTCTGATTATAAACTCAATTTATGCTTTGGTGACCAGATTAAATTAAAATGTTTACTCAGAGACAGACAAAAATTGAAGCAAATTTATTAACATCTGCAAGTACTCAGCAGCCTTTATTTTCATATTATGTCCAATAAATTGTCTCACCTTACTTAATGCATTTTTCTCGTTCCCACTTTAATCATTTCCTGCTTCAAACTTGGAAGCCTTGGGATTTAACATCTCATTCTTACTTATTGATTTTGAGCTAGATCCAAACTAATAATACTTACAAGTATATTAGATATTGCGAATCAGGAGGTTTAAGTTGGTTATGATTTAAATCCACCCGAATTCAATGAGATTAACATAACACTGGTTATATTTCAGTTCTGTCTGTTCTAATCCATTGAGGTTGATTTCTTGGAAATGCAACAGATGGAAATAGCCAAGCAGTTCTGTATAACCCAGTTCTCTACCACGCAAAATGCCTGTTTAGTCATCGTACATTTTGGAGCATTTTTTTTTTAGGCTTAGACTAATTGACAAAAACCAGCAAAGTGTTAATGTGTATCAGATTGAAAGCTGGGGCGGAGGGGAAGGAAAATGGAACTGTATGGAGAACAATGATGAATTCGAGGAGAAGGAAAATTAAACAAAACAAGTTTGTTTTCATGCTCACTTCTATTTTTGGCCCTTATGCAGTAAGATATTCTGAGCATGACTGGACTTACTACGAGTGAGCATGGATACTTGGGATTTTACTCATTGCTGACTAGCTGAAACATGCCACATACCGAGATGAGTGGAAATTAAAGGATGTGTCTGTCTAGGCCAGGGGTAGGCAACCTTGGCTCTTTTATGACTCGTGGACTTCAACTCCCAGAATTCCTGAGCCAGCATGGCTCAGCATGGAAACCTCTCCTTTTCCCCTCAGCATGGCTGGCTCAGGAATTCTGGGAGTTGAAGTCCATGAGTCATAAAAGAGCCAAGGTTGCCTACCCCTGGTCTAGGCTCTGAATTAATTCCCTCTCCTTCCCCCCAAAAATGAAGTGTATGTTTTAGAACATAGAATAACAGAATTGGAAGGGACCTTGGAGGTCTTCTAGTTCAGAGTTCCCCAACTTTTCCAGCTTTGTGGACTGGCGGGGGGGGGGGAGAGGGGATGGTTCTGCGCCAGTGGTGGGCAAGTACACACATGCGTGCGCAGAGCTCCATTTGTGCAAGCAGTGGGTATGCATGCCCACTTCTTGCACAAACATAGCACATGTCTGTGCGCTCACCTGATGCTTGTGCAAATAGTGATGCATGCACAGTGCTCACTTGCACTTCATGTAACCTGGTTCTGAACAACTCACTGCCTGGTAGTGGGTTGTAGCTTTGGGGTTGGGGACCCCTGTTCTAGTCCAGCCCCCTGCTTGAGCAGGAGACTCTATACTATTTCAGAGAAGTGGCTGTCCAGTCTCTTTTTGTTGGAGCACCCACAACTTTTGGAGGCAAGGAAGAAGAGGAGGAGGAGGAGGAGGAGGACATAGAACATAAAATAAAAGAGTTGGAAGGGACCTTGGAGGTCTTCTATTCCAAACTCCTGCTTGAGCAGGAGACCCTAGACTAGGAGTAGGCAACCTTAGCTCTTTTATGACTTGTGGACTTCAACTCCCAGAATTCCTGAGCCAGCCATGCTGAAGGGAAATGGAGAGGTTTCCAAGCTGAGCCATGCTGGCTCAGGAATTCTGGGAGTTGAAGTCCACGAGTCATAAAAGAGCCAAGGTTGCCTACCCCTGCCCTATACCATTTCAGACAAGTGATTATCCAGTCTCTTCTTAAATGCCTTCAGTGATTTAAGCACTTACAACCTCTGAAGGCAAGCCATTAATTGTTCTCATTGTCAGGAAATTTCTCCTTTTAGACTAGGAACGGTTATTTCATTTTTGTTTGTCATCAAACAAATTAGGTGAGATGCCATCCATTTCATCTACAGGTGACTCTGCACGGCTTACACACATTAAACATTTTGCATTTCAGCATATGGTAATGTGATGACTATTATTTTGAAAAGGGATGGATGCAAGTTTAAAAGTTAAATTGGCCATTTCATCTTTTACAAAGAGCTAGAATATACACTCATATTTTGCTCTGATAAGTTGTTTGTCTGAAACTGATTAGCATCCTGCTGAGGATGCACATTGACAAATTTGTGTACAGGTTTTTTTTTCACTTTGTCTATAGTTATATTTCCCTATCAATTTTTATCATTCCAACTAATGAAGCTAAATGCATTGAATGTAAACAAAGAGCAAAACCCTAATCTGATTTATTGGTATCTTTCAGCTAGATTGTAAAGTTGAAGATTGCAAAATGATTCATGAACTATATGTTTTTCAATCCATTAATTAAAACATTAAAACACAGGTACAGTTGGTCCCAGTTTTCTCTTAGTTTCACCCCATGAGGGAAAGAAAATATTGCAGTGCAGATCTCAGAGGAACATATCTTTCCAAACTTCAAATATTTAATTTGTTTAATAGTGCAATGCAAATGCCATGGAGTAATATTGTATGCCAGATTTTCCTGATTAGCTATTGATACTTAAGAAAGGAGAACCCAGTGAAGCATACAGAGAAAGCAAAAACAGTGTTATTTTTTTTTCCAAATCAAAATAGCAATAGCACTTAGACTTATATACCACTTCACAGTGCTTTACAGCCCTCTCTAAGAAGTTTACAGAGTCAGCATAATGTCCCCAACAAACTGGGCCCTCTTTTTACTGATCTCAAAAGAATGGAAGGCTGAGTCAACTTCGAGCCAGTCAGGATCGAACTCCTGGCTGTGAGCAGAGTTAGTCTGCAACAGCAATAGCACTTAGACTTATATACCACTTCACACTGCTTTCACAGCTTTCTCTAAGCAGTTAAAGAGTCAGCATATTGCTCCCCCAACAATCTGGGTCCTCATTTTACCGACCTCGGAAGGATGGAAGGCTGAGTCAACCTTGAGCTGGTCAGGATCGAACTGTCAAACTGCTGGCAGTCGGCAGTCGGCAGAAATAGCCTTGCATTCCAACTACCACCACACATAAAATTGAGTTTCCTCTGCTGTCATAATGGCTGAGAATTTCTTTACGTATTTTGTGATCTTAATACCTGGCTCTAAGATACATACAAATGTATGGGTAGCAAACTCACTGTGTTTCTTAATCTTTTGTCCAGGTTGTTTGGAACTTAAGGAAGATACAATCGAAAACCTCCTGGCAGCTGCGTGTCTTCTTCAGCTCCCTCAAGTAGTTGAAGTGTGTTGTCATTTCCTCATGAAGCTTTTACATCCATCCAACTGTTTGGGAATCCGGGCCTTTGCAGATGCTCAAGGATGCACAGAACTTATGAAGGTGGCTCACAGTTACACCATGGTAAGGAAGCGCTGCTATGCCTTATCGTCACAGCATGAAATCTAAAGATAGGTAGAATGCTCAGAAGCTGTGAAACTTGCTCATAGATATACACTACAGTGGTAAGCAAGTCCTGATATGCATCAAAGCATGAAATCTAAAGTTATAGATGATGCACAGAGGCTGTGAAGCTTGCTCATAGATATCCAGGGATAAGGAAATCCTAATATGCCTTATCATCACAGCACAGATGCATGATGGCTTGAATTATTGGAATGCTGGGCAGGAGGTTAGCAAGCCCATGTTTGAGACCCGAGAGCTATCATGGGATGGGGTTGAGCTCTCATCCTTCGCTCCAGCTCCTGCTGGGGACATGAAAGGAGATCCCAGTCGGGCATCCCCAAGGTAACGGTTAAGTCACCGGCTAATCTTTTCAATCTGGAATCACCTTGGTGCTTCTGAATCAAGTGCAAGACACAGCATGAAATCCAAAAATATGTAGAATGCACAGAAGTTACAGAGGGGGGCTCAGAGTTTCTATCAAGCTAAAGAAGTTCTGATATGATGCAAGATATGATCAGGGCATAAAAGCAAATCAACCTTTTAATGAAACAGCTGCTTTTCCTTTTTTTGCACATTTGTTCCTCTAATTCTTGAAAGCAGATAAAGAAGGTACAACGAGCTTTCGGTGTTGATAAAGGAATATTATGAGTAAAAGGATTGAACTGGCTACTACCCACCGCATTTTGATAACATTTCAAAACTTCCCTTATGTTTTTGTGTTGCAGAAGCTATTAAGCATGTACTTTAAGATGGTGTAATTATGAAATCATTGTATAACGACTAATTCATTGACTATTGAGAGACTCTTAGCTGGATAAATATGTGTCACAAATCTATGCCAGACAAACGTCTGAATGAAATGAAAAGTTAACAGATTGGTTTGAGAATGAAAACAATTTGGCAGATGGAAACAGGTAACTTCAGAACCAGCTGTTACTGTATATAAATCAGGCATAAATATTACAACATCTGGTAGAAAAATAAATTGCCAAATGATTCAAGCTGTTGTGTATTGCAAATTTCAGAATGAGTTCAACCCAATATCCTATAGGAAATTTTTCCGCTTTATAGAAATGTACACATTGTGTTAGGATCCCCACATAAAGACATCTATGTATTAGGACATCTAGCCAAATATTGTTTTGGCTAATAAAGGTATGAGAAAATTTATACTTGGAGTACCTTTACTGTTTAATTTTAATATCAGTTCTCTTATTCCATAACCTTCTGATTTGAGTCATTATTCAGCATAGCTGAAAATAGGTACTTTGTTTCATACAGATGTACGAGGGCAATTCGGAAATAAACCTCCGTTTGGTTATCAATGACAGACACTCGCAGATATAGAACTTTTATTATAACACATTAGAAAACTACAACATTACATTGCTTTTTGACATAATCGCCATTCAAATTGAGGCACTTGTCATAACGTCTTACAAGGTTTGAATTTCCTTAGTATTAGTCGCTCGGCACCAAATCTGGGCTAAAATATCAAAAATATCCCAATGGAACTGCTTCAAAAGTTCTTGAGTGCATGTAGCGGTGTGCAGGCAAGCATTATCATGAACACACCGGAAGTCAGCAGGCCCCGACACTTGTTATGGATGGCTCATCTGAGTTTTCGTAACGTTTCACAGTAGACGTCTGAATTGATGGTCGAACCATGCTCCATGAACTTCACTAGCCGTACTCCTTTGGCATCTTCACACTTGGCGGGATTTTCTATGGCACCATTTCTGGTGTGGTGTTTCTTCATGATAATGATCACCTGCACACCACTAGATGCACCCAAAAACTTTTGAAGAAGTTCTGTTGGGACGTTTTTGATCACCTCTCCCCCCATAGCCCAGATTTGGCGCCGAGCAACTACTGCTAAGGAATTTCAAACCTTGTAAGACGTTATGACAAGTGCCTCAATTTGAACGGCGATTATGTCGAAGAATAATGTAATGTTGTCGTTTTCTAATGTGTATAATAAAGGTTCTGCATCTGCGAGTGTCTGTCATTGATAACCAAACGGAGGTTTATTTCCAAATTGCCCTCGTACAGTACATTGGGTAGAATGTGGACAAGAATTTGTATAAAGGATTTCTCAATTTCCTTTTAATCCTTGTCCAGACTAAAATAAACTAAATCCAATCAGAACAGAAGTGTTATACTCCTTGAGAGCAGAGTGTAACATGATGTAATGAATTGCCCCCCAAATGGAATTCAGATTTCCAGGAATGTTCACGGTATAGTCAAGGGATTCCATTTAAGAGTTGGAATCAAGTTCCTTCCTACCTTAATAGGATTGTGTATAAGAAACAGATGTATCTTATATGCTTGTGTGATATTTAAGCATAAGGAATCAAAAGTCATTTTCTAAAAAGTAAATGAAAAGACAGAAAGAACAAAACAATGATTTCCCAGATAAAACATATTCAATACTTGTTGCATTGAGTTTAATCTATAGGGTGGAATATAATATTACAACGTTTGCCTGATAGACATTGCAAGATTATTTATTTATTTATTTATTTATTTATTAGTTAAACTTTTACCCCGCCCTTCTCCTTACGGACTCAGGGCGGCTAACAACCAATAAAATACAAATACACCCCAAGACACCCCTTAAAACTTGGTTAAAAAGAAATATTTAAATTGGCTATAATTAATTAAAAATGTTTAAGAACCCCACTAAAAAATTTCTCCTTAGGCCAGTCCTGCTTGCTGAAATAACCATGTCTTGAGGGCGCGGCGGAAGGAAGGGAGATCCGGAATCACCCTGATCTCTGGGGGTAGCTCGTTCCAGAGGGTGGGAGCTCCCACTGAGAAGGCCCTCCCCCTGGGAGTCACCAGCCGGCACTGTCTGGCTGACGGCACCCTGAGGAGACCCACAATGTGGGAGCGTACCGGCCGATGGGGGGTAATCTGCGGCAGAAGGCGGTCTCGGAGATATCCAGGTCCGATGCCATGGAGCGCTTTGAAGGTGATGACCAACACCTTGAAGCGCACCCGGAAAGCCACCGGCAGCCAGTGCAGCTCGCGCAGCAACGGTGTTACATGGGAGCGACGAGTCCCTCCCAACACCGCCCGCGCGGCCGCATTCTGGACCAGTTGAAGCCTCTGAGTGCTCCTCAAGGGGAGCCCCATGTAGAGAGCGTTACAGTAGTCCAGCGTTACAGTAGTCCAGTGTTACAGTAGTCCAAGATTAGAGAGCTATCTGGCTGTTCTGGTCTAGATTGAAATTATTCCTTTAGTAATGAACTGTGTCATAAATGCAGCTGCCTTACTTTGGCTTGGCCAGGCTTCTATTAGCACAAAGCAGGACTCTTGGTTGGCTGTTAAAATAGTCCTTTCTGCTGACCCAACCTTCTAAAATAAATGTTTCGTGGTCTACGAAATTTTAAACTTTACTGGAATATTAAGCAGCGTTTTGTACAGATGTTTAATTTCAGGAAGATTAATGAGAGACTGTCAAGAAATATTGAACAAAAATAATATATTTGTATTCCTGGTTGCATTTGTCCTGAGAGTTGACCCCAGGAATGAAGCTTGGTCCATTTCCTGGTTAACATATACTTTGGAGATGGCTCTGGATGTTGCATCCAAACCCATTGAGGATAGTGGAAGCTGTCCCTCTTTTTAAAAGTGAGAATCTGTAATCCCATAAGAAATATTAGTAGGCCCTTCAACAAGTGGCAAAGATGTCCAGAAAAGATATTTTATAATTACAAAGAATATAACTTGTCTCCAACATGTAAAAAAGATGTTGAGACTCTAGAAAGAGTACAGAGAAGAGCAACAAAGATGATTAGGGGACTGGAGGCTAAAACATATAAGGAACGGTTGCTGGAATTGGGTATGTCTAGTTTAACGAAGAGAAGGACGAGGAGGGACATGATAGCAGTGTTCCAATATCTCAGGGGCTGCCATAAAGAAGAGGGAGTCAAGCTATTCTCCAAAGCGCCTGAAGGCAGGACAAGAAGCAATGGGTGGAAACTAATCAAGGAGAGAAGCAATCTAGAACTAAGGAGAAACTTCCTGACAGTGAGAACAATTAACCAGTGGAACAACCTGCCTCCAGAAGCGGTGAATGTGTCCCATCTACACTATTTCTATTTGGTCTTCTTAAAAGCAGGGCTTTTTTTTTGTCATAGAATGCCCAGAACGGAGTTCCGACACCTTTTTTGGATGGAACCTTGTAGGGTAGGCAAGGCGGATTGTATGACGTGTGTGAGTTCCGGCACTTTTTTTTTTTTTTTACAAAAAAAGCACTGCTTAAAAGTATGTAGAAAGAAGGAGAAAGAGGAAGAGGAAGAGGAGGAGGAGGAGGAGATATTTAAACAAATTTAAAGCAGAAGAAAAGAGGAGATAATAGCAACAGCAACAGCACTTAGACTTATATACTGCTCCACAGTGCTTATACACTGCTAAATTGCTCTCTAAGCAATTTAGAAATGTCAGCATATTGATCCCAACAATCTGGGTCCTCATTTTATCAACCTTGGAAGGATGGAAGGCTGAGTCAACCTTGAACCCCATCAGGAATGAACTTCAGGCTGTGGGCAGAGTTTGCCTGCAGTACTGCACTTAACCACTGCACCACCAGGATAAAATAATGAACTAGAATTATAGAAATGACATTCCCTGTGCCTTTCTGTACTATGGTATCATTGCAAATTATCATTTTGTCTTGCATAATGAAAGCATATATTGCTTTTTGTTCTTTAAATCCTGATAAATCAGATCCTGATAAACTCTCTGTTTATCAGGATCTCCTCAACGCCATATAACCATGACTTCTCTTCCTCTTCCTCTCTCTTCATCCTTCTTTCATATATTTGTTTTGCAATTCCATCTTCCTTCTTCCTCCCTCTTAAACAAACTGCCTCTACCTGCTTCCATATTCATTCATAACAATTGCTTTTGTCATTCGACAGCACACTTTTGAAGCATCCTATTCTGATTGC